TTGTGTAATTCTAATTATGTATGATTATATACACAATTATTTCAGACTGTTACATATATACAATTTATACAATTATAAAATTAATAAAAATGTCTATATGAAATGAAATGCAAAATAGAATGAAGTAAAAGAAAAATAACTTATTTCTAATTTTTGGCAAGTCAGGATGTGCATGTGAAATTAATGTTTTAAAAAAATCAAATAAATAAAAATGTGACTGCCCCTTTCTATTGGATAAAGTATTCATCATACCTTGGACATTAGTAGACTCGAAATGACTTCAGTTTTGTTTACATATCGCGTGACTATTAAAAAAGATGGCTCCTTTTTAGTTTCTTCTGTAGTGCAAAAAAAAAAATAAATAAAAATGACAAACTGAAAAAAATATTTGATAAGATTAAAGAGATGGAATATTTCTTTGGGCCTCTAGTGACATAAATGGCTTTAAGATTCTTTATTTTTTTAATATATATATATATATATATATATATATATATATATATATATATATATATAAAGAGAGAGAAAGAGAGCGAGATATGGTTATTTGTTTTACTGAATTATTATATTTTTATTGAAGTAAACAAATGCAAAAAATACAAGGAGGAAAATTATTGAAAAATATGTAAAATGATTTCAAATCCTCGTAAATCATAAAATATAAATTAATGACAAAACTGAAAAATGCTTTGAATGAAGAAAAAAAATACAAATGGTAAAAACTAAAAAAAATCATTAAAGAAGGAGAGAAATTAAAAAGAATAAAAAAATAAGTGAATGTAGAAAGAGGTTAATTGAATTCCTGAAAATGAGAAAAAGAAAAAAGTTATTTAAAAAAAAAAAAGGAAAGAAAGTGAGAGTAAGTCAAGTGCAGTTAGAAGAGAAAGAAAGAAACAAGTAAACAAATAAGTCTTCAAAGCAATTTGAAAAAAAAGAAAAAGAAAATTTGTTTGGCTCATGTCAATAGGAAAGAAACCACAAAGAAAACAAGTGTGTTTGCATTTGTTCATTATGGCTTGATTAAGTATCAATTATTGATTAAATTCTTGGATAACATAATGAAGGCTTGGTCAAGGAGGCAAATGAGTGGAGGTAACAGATGTGGGTAGGTGTGTCGGGTATATATGACAAGAGGACAGTAAATATTCCCATTGGTTAATAATGTGTATTCATCATTACGTCCTATGGCCCAAACAGAAATGTGTTTTGGTCTATTGCAAATACAGCAATAAGGCAGAACAAATAAATGAAAAAGAAAGTAATCTATGGAAGAAAAAAAAATGCAGACAGTGTCTTTCAAATTGCAATAACTTAATAATTAAATAATTATTAAAAAAGCAGACAGAAAAATTAATTTTTTCAGATTTTAAATATTAAAAAATCTCTTTCGAATACAGTATTTCATTTTGAGTACCTCAGGTTTTAGTAGTATTTTTCTTCTTTTATTGAAGAAACTGCAATCTGTATACTGAACTTAACTTTTATAAAAATAATATTGAGTTTTTTTTTTTGTTTATCATACTTCAGTCATATTTTTTTGTTCTGAATTTAAGTTAAAATTTTACTTAAAGTAGAAGCCTAAGTTTTAAAAGCCATTTTGTTTACAGTTGTAAAAGTTTGAAAGAGGAAATGTAAATTTGAGACTAAATAGTCATAATAATCATAGCTGATAAAAAAATTTAAACAATATTAAAATCCATTAGGAACAAGACACATACACATCTAAATAAAAGGACATTCACATGGTCACACAGATAATCTATTTAATCTCAAATTTATATTTCCTCTTTCAAACTTATCTCTAATCTCTCTCACACACATGAAAAAACAATATTAGGCATAATCACTCACTCAGACATTATTTTAGACTTTCATTCACACACAATTATTTTAGACATAATCACACACACACAATTTTTTATTTTTGACATAACCACTCACATATGTGTGTGTGTGTGTGCACATATATATATATATATATATATATATATATATATATATATATATATTCCCAGGCATGAGTGGGTATAATATGCAAGTAATTTAATCCATTAATATTTTTATACAATGCATACAAATTGAAAAACACCATTGTACTGACTCAGTGATTAGCCTAATGGTTATAACAATGCATTTTAAGACTTCAGGTCTAACTCGAACAAATTTGATAACTCTTAAAAAATATTTTATAAACAGTGGTAGTATTTTTGCACTGCTATGCTAAAGACCTGAACAACTGCTGAATAATTATAATAGTCTTAAAAGCCATTGTTTGTGAGTTGAATTATCTCCAGGTGCTCCATATTTATAGACTAAGTTTTGATAGTAAATATCAGTTATGTTAAAGAACCTTTGGTACAATGTTTACTTTGGTAGTCTTATAAACAATTGCTATTGAAATCCATTATCAGTGGATGCACAACTGTTGTGGCCTTGTGCCAGACAAAGTTTAACAAAAATCTATTATTGAACAAATGCTTGATAGACTTATTGATTAAGCCTGTAATATAATTAAAACAGAAAATTAATGAGAAAAATAATGTAAAAATTTTTTTTTAAATGTACCTAATTAATAATGTAATTTTCTTGCTCATTGGTAAGGGCAGTGTACTGGAGGTGGAGATTTGACTGTAAAAGAAAGAAAGAAAATGATTTCAAAAGCAAATCTTTTCATGTAGTCACCTGATCAGGGGTGAAACAGGTGTGAAGACATGAGATCTTTTGTACAGTCACCATCAATATTCTGGAATATTAAGAAATAGCTAGCTTTGGAATCATTTTTTTTAATCATTTTACCCTAGGCAAGGCAATAAAGATGCAAAGACTTACTGGGTGTGAGAGAATATGAGAAAAACAAAAATAACACTGCATTTTTAATTTTTGACAATCAAAGTTGACTGCAAGAAGCTGGAAAAAATTCTGGAGATTCTGAAGTCATCTGGTGGCCATCATTGAAGCCAATGGCAATTTTATTGAATAAATTTACTTTTTAGTATTTCAAGATATTTTTGTGTAATTTTGGTAAATATATTTGTTAAAATGAGATGTCAGTGTTAATTTCATTTTTGTGTAATTTAGACAATTTATCCATTGCCCCCTATATATAGGAGGAGGCATGGTGGAGTAGTGGATAGTGGCTTGGATTGAGGAATCAGAGAACTGAGTTCAAATTCCAGTCAAATCCATTACATTCCCTTACATGCTAATACCCTTGAGAAAAGTATGAATCCTCTTCTTCTTCCTCCAGTTATAAATAAATAGCAGGACAGACTGGGTTCTATAGCCTTGGATAGCAACTGGTCTAGGAGAAGGACAACTCTGCGAAGGGGCATTTAGGGACCTTGCGGTACATAGTGCACCAGGTCTCTGTATTCGGCCCTTCAAAAAGTGTGGTTGGTTCTGCACAAAGCCTTCATCCCTATAATCAAATCATATGTGCTGGTGTCTGGGTTGTTGGCTCCTAGAAATTCCTAGCTGCTTGAGCCTCATATGTTGAATTTGACGGGAGAATGCACCATAATTATATATATATAATAAAAAGGCTTAAACACTAATATTCCATGGTCATAATTTATTCCATTGGAATCATAAATATGATCCAATTCATCAGAGCTACAAATTCAAAAAGAAAACAGAAAAAACAACTCCGGAAATAAAAACAGAATTTAGAGAGAGTGTAAGTATGAGGGTGTGGGACGAATGTTAGAGCTAAAGAGAGGGGTAACAGACTAGAGAAGGAGGGAGATTAAACCATAACAGAGAGAATTTTAGGAGAGGTGAGTGGAAGGGGTTTAAGTAAGAGAAATATGAATGTTGTCGGATGTCTAATGCATAAAGATACATTTCGTGGTGACATACACATACCATAGACGATCTAATGTTGAAGATCAGAATAAGAGGGAGGGAAAGGAAAGAAGAGAGATGGGCGAAGAAAAGTAAAATTGAAGGACATTTACTGAAAGGGCCGCTGTAATTGAGAAAATTTGACAAATTTAATATCGACTACAGGTGACAAATCAAATATAAACATATAAAAAATAAATATAACAATTATCTAATCTAGCAAGGACCTATATTTTTATGTTCAAAAACACATGCGAATACACACATACACAATAACATATACACGTATATACATACACATAGGTGTGTACCCACATACACACATACATATACCCATGTACACATATATAAATATATCCACATATCCACACAAATATACACATACACACACATACATATATATACACATATACATACATCTGGTTCAACATGTTAGCTCTATCTCTGATACTGAGCGCTTTCTAATAAGTGCCGCGCCTATAACATACAAATAATTACACCTACATATATATATATACACACACACACACACACACATATATATATATATATATATATATATATATATATATATATATATATATATGTATATATATAAATATTATATGAAAATTTAACATATTTTAAATATCAATTTTTATCATGACATCGCTGTTTCTTAGTAAAATTTACAGTTATCAACGGTAATGGGTTTGAATGGTATTTCCAATTTTTTCATCATATATATATGATGGCTGCCAACTCATTAATCATGTGTGACTATTTCTAACACATTAACATACAAGATAACTATTGGTAATTTATACTGTTACATTGATTTTACACTAAAATCATTCACGTGTATCACAAAATACATTTAATTATACATACATACATATTAATAGTGTGGGCTGGATTATCAGCAGACAATAATCAACAAAAAAACCTTGCATCAGACAAAATTCACCTTAAGACGGCTTGAGAACAGACTGTCTAAAGCTCTGCATAGAAAGAAGAAAATTTGAGGAAAAAAAAGCTAAGAGGTGAATTGCTAAAATAAGGATTCAATATGAATAACTTTCTTTTTCAGTATTTATGAATTATTCTGTTTTACAAAAAGAAAAACTTGTATCACATTTGTTTTTTTGCCAATTCTATATCTTCTGTGTCCACTTTAGCAACAACATCCCCCAGGAATGTCTGACCACCCCAGGAGCTACTATTCACTTGCTTGTCTATGACCAAGACAAACTGCTGCGAGATGACTTTGCTGGTGAAGCAACCATTGCGCTGTCATCAATTCCACAATTGAATGATGGCAGCTGTACAACTTTTGACAAAACACCCACCACTATTCTAGCCTTGAGGCGGCCTCAGATGACATCAAGAGCCCTCCAGGTGAGATGTTTTTTGTTTTTTAAGAAATATGGTAAATAGCTGTTATCTTTTCAATTGTCTTGTGTTTTGACATATAGCAAGTCCAAGAAACTAAAGTTTTGTTTTAACAGGACAGATAATTATAAAAAAAAAGTGGGGAGGCATGGATTATATGTCATAGCTGTAAATTCTTTGTTATTCTTGGATGCTATTAACATTAAATTTATCTACATGAAAATGTGGCTTGGAAAAGAACTTCTACAATGGCACATTTTCTGAAAAAAATCTTTAGTAATAAACCTCACCAACCTAGGTACTTAGAATTTCAAAATCTGTCATAAATGTACAAAAAGAAACTAGTTTTAGACTGGACCAAAAAGTAAATCTGGATGAAGTGCCAGTGGCATTTGATGTACTATCCAATAAAAATATTAAATCTTTCCTGCGAAAATAATGTGTAGGGGAGGTGTCTTATATGTCATTCGATAATTTTTTTTTATCATTTCACCCCAAGCAAGATTATGACACCACTAAGATTCAAGGGGTTACTGGGAATAAAAGAGAATGAGAAAACTTTAAGAGAAAGAAATGGAAACTCAATCCTAAACACGGGATAAACATTTACTCCTGTTCAAAAGATGGGGAAGGAGTCTTAATATGGCATTATAAACCTATTTAATTAAATAGCAATAAGAAGATTGTGTTGCTTCAGTCATTTGAGTAAGGAGAGTCTACTTGCCTTGATAATCAGTATTTAAAAATTCAGGCTTTTATTTGAGTTTAAACTCCAGTTGCTGATAATTGATATACAACTGTTTCACCCACCAAGCAGACCACCCTGAACTTCTTTACTGCTCTAACTGTATGCAAAAATACAGGATGGTTTACTTTTGAATAAGTATTTTCTACCAAAAGACTGAAGAATCAAATGTATTTTCATTTTTGTAAATGTGTGATGTTTATTGGGTGGATGCTCAGATCTTGTAGTTTCAAAAAACTGTTGAAATTTGGTGGCCTTGTTCTGATAAAAAAATAGTGAAATAAAAATGATAAATAAAAAAAAATGTCTTAATTTGTAAAACCACTACTTCAATGTATCACTTGTAAAAATAGTCACAATAAAATTTTGGTATATCTTTGGAAATAAATGCAGTGAATTTGGTACAGATACATTACAAAATGGTTCCAGAAGGTTTTGTGTTTAGATTGGTATGGAATCTTGGAAAATGGATGCTGATTAAATCAAGAAGCATTTTTTATATATTTTATACTGGTGAAAGAAGTTAGAAAAGGCCATAATTTTGAATGCTGATTTTCACAGCAAGCCTTAGATAAATGAATAAGAAACAACTTTCATTTAACTAATCTGAAAAAATAAACTGTAGTTTTATTTTTATTTTTTTTTGCAAAGAAAGCAGAACATAGAAAAATACAATAGTCTCCCCTTTTCCAAAAGAGATATATTCCTAGATCCCCAGGCAGAGAAAACTGGATCCAATATATACTATGTTTTTTTTCTATACATACCATGATAAACTTTAACTTTATAAAATTGGCACAATAAAAAATTAAATTAATTATTGTATTAAAAGTTATATAAGGATAAAATAATTTTTCTTACTGTAGATATTAGCCTACAAGTTGAGAACTTCTCCTTTACCATAAGTGTTTCTTGAGTCTTGTATTGGATGTAATTTAATATAAAAAATATCCAAATTGCTAATATCAAATATGTATGAAATTATTTCTAGAAGTGAGTGTGGGTGGGTGCATGGCTGAAACTAGAATGTAATCACTGTAATATCAAAGAAGAGAGAACACAGTGACAATTTTCAATGCCATCTGAAGTTTTAGGATGAAGTACTGTCATTATTTAAACTGATATCCTCATCATTGTTTTGATTACAAGGTTTTTGCCAGCTTTCCGCATATTGTCTAAAGATTGAAAATTAAATATCAGTATTTCATATTTCATGAATTGATCAACAGGTATCTTTATCTTTGTTGTTTTGAGCACATTCATCTCTAACTTTCCTCAGCTGTATAAAACTTTGAATATTTTGTTTATAATATTTTTTATCACTGACTTTTGCTCCTGCTTCAAGAACAATTCACAAATCTGAGAAACAAAAATTGCATACTTTCATTGCTTCTTCATAAAAACTTATTTCACTTTTTTAATTTTAATATTAACTTATAGAATATTTTCAATTTATTTTTTATCCAATTTATTTTCGCAACTGTTTAAAAAAATTTTTGATAATTATATATACATATATTTGGCAAGTGAATGACAAAGTTGAAAAAAGTTTATGTAATGTATTTCATCTGCGAGAAAGACTTCATTGTAATATTTTTATTAGTGAAATTATGTGCGTAAGAGTGGGATTGGGAAACCAGGTTTTCTTTTTAGTGGAAAGCTTCTTATTGAGTGAAACATTTTAATTGTTTTTTTTTTTTAATTTTCAAATTGGAAGGTATGCACAATCCTCCTGCACAGAAAATTAAATTTTTCTAACTGTAGTCCAGGAACTTCTGTCTTTCCTTCCTGCTCACTATAATATCAAGATGGATGCTTGTGTTATTTTTTTTCTAAAATTCTTTAAAGCTAATTTAATTTGTTCATTGATGACAGTTTTGGAAATTCAATGTTTGCTTTATGTTGTTCACTTTTTTATGAGATAATGTGTGCAAAAAAATTTTTTTTAAATATTTTGCTTGGTTAATCATCTTTTATATAACAGCTATTTTATATTTGTGAGGACAATCGTTTTTGTAATTAAGAAAGCACAAATTCCTGCTTGTTGATTTTTTTCATACAGAGAAGTAGTAAAAATATGACTGTTGGCATCAACTAAAATGTCACAGAAAGGGATTCTATTATTGCATGTCGAGCAATGAAAGGGATTCTATTGTTAATCTTACATTCTTAAGTTTTAAGCAGAATGTTCTTTTAAGTTTTTTTTTTATTTTGTCTAGGTTTTTTATTAGTATGTAAATTTCAGTAATATATTGAACATATAGATAAGGTAGAATTATTAAAGATTTGCTTTTTATGTGTCATGGAGGACTGAGAGGCAAAATGCAGTCATTTAGTGTGCATGTTATTGTAACGATTAAAAGGTACTTTTGTCATGTAGGATAGAAAACATTTACATAAAATTGTTGATCTAATATTATGAGGCCAGCATAGGCAGCACACTCTGAAGAGCAACTGCAGCGACTAATGGAAAGTTTTTTCAAAAGAGTTCAGTCTGATCATCAGTGTGAAGAAAAACATGATGGGTCAAGGTGTTGAACAGCCTCCCACAAAAATCAAAATCAACAATTACAACCTAGAAGTGGTTCATGAATTCATATACCTCACCTCCATTGTTTCACACACACTCTTCCTTGACACTTTTGTCAACAGACAAGCCACCAGATTTTTTGTCAAACTGAACTTGAGAGCAGAAACTAACTATGCACACCAAAAGTACAGTCTATAGAGCATGTCAGTGTGCTGTCCTACGTCAGTGAAACTTGCAGCCAGACAAGAGAGACACTTCAGAGAATGGAAAATGAAACCCTGAGATATGAACACACATTCAATAGGGAAAGAAGCACTCCAAAGGCTAAGCAAAATGCTGAAAAACAGAAACTTTATTGGAAAGAAAGAAAAGAATACTGGATTGCTATGTGATACCCATCTTCTTATATGAGACATCATCTGAGACACACTCTGGGCATTAATTGGTTTGACTGGGTCACCAATGCCATGGTTCTCACTCATGCCCAATTACCCAGCATATACACCCTTTTCTCTGATGGCTTGGACATGTACACCTTGTACTGATGGGAGGATTCCAAATGTCCTTCTCTATAGGGAACTGGCCACTGACAAGTGGGTGAGATTTACACTTAGGGCTGGAGTGAGAAGACAAGAAACAAAAGCTTTCTGCCAGGAGGAAGCATGCTCAACAGAAAGAAAACAACAAGGTGACATTGGGGGAGAGCATTTTCACATGCATTCATTGCAATTTAAACCCATGTGGGCCTGTACAGCCATAACAAATACTGAACCACCATCAGCAGCTGAAGCATAACTCTTTGGGCTTAGATCCATTATGAAGTGGGAGTGAAGAGTTCTTATATATTTTTTGTATAACTAGTTCTATACTTTCTTTAAAAGGGACATTATTAAAAAGACTTTCAAAACAAAGCTTCTTCTATATGCTTCATTCCTTCAAGACAGGCAATCATGACTCTCCCCAAATTCCTATCTTGTGCAGTTCTTAGTATTTTTCTGCCTTTACTAAGGCTCCTTCTGTTCCACCATCCATTCACACAAGCTCATCAGCTAAGTGGCTTGCTGCCTTTCCCTACCTCACTTGCACTTGATATGCCCTGTGAGGGTTAAGTTTTTCAAACACTCCTTCCTCATTATGTATCCAAGGAATTTCAGCTATTTCTTCCTGATTCTGAGTATAAGTGTCCTTTCTGTTGCCATTTTTTAAGACTTCTTTGTTACTTACTCACTCTGTCCATGAAATTTTCAGTATCCTTCTGTAGAACCACATTTCTGCTGCCTCTAGTTTTTTTTCTCATTTGTGGGGAGGTTGTTCAACATTCACTACCATATAAGAAGATGGGTATCACATAGCAATCCAGTATTCTTTTCTTTCTTTCCAATGAAGTTTCTGTTTTTCAGCATTTTGCTTAGCTTTTGGAGTACTTCTTTCCCTATCGAATGCATGTGTGTGTGTATATATATATATATATATATACACACACACACACACACACATATATATATATATATATATATATATATATATAGGGAGTGTGAAATTATACTCTCCCACAATTTTGTGGAGTTTGATGGATCTGATTTGGGTGTTGTTGGCTGTAATAAGTTTATTTATCTCTGTCTTGAAGTTAGTGATATTTTTATTTACATTATTTTTATTTTCAAGAATAGTGTCTAGCTTTGCATTGTAATTAGATTTGTTTAAAATAACAATTTTGATTTGGATGTGCAACAACTTATTTCAAAATTGGGAAAATACGCTAAAAACTTTAACAAACAGACCTTTTTGGCAATATAATAAAACCTTTTTGAATCTTAACGTAATACGTTACTGCAATATTTTTGTGGAGCACATCTGTTTTATTTTGTTGTTTTAAATAATAAATAAACTAATATGAAATGGGTCTTAGTAACCTATTGTCACTAAAAGCATATTTTTCAATATTATTGTAATATAATTATTAATTGAATAAATATAGAAAGATTCTTTCTCATTCGTTATTCATGCTAGTTAATTTTGAAAAGCAAAAAGAATTAAGAAGTAACTTCATAATAAAAAACAAAATTTGAGAAAATGAAGGAAAAATTTGTAATATATGAGCCTTTTTTTTAACCACTTATAAACATGGTAAGAATTAAAAGCATTATTAATAATAATCTGTGAAACTATTTGGTTAACTTATTATTTATTACAGCATGCTACATTGAAATATCTGTTATATCAAGTGTTATTTTCATTAAATTACAGTATGGTGATTATTCAAAATAAAATCATTAAAATCTCACTTTGTATTTTGACAGGTTCTCCAGTATCGAATTGACAGAGATAACATAGCTAAGGACTTTGTACAGGAGAGGTTACGCGTCATTGAGAATCAACGGCCACGCACTGACAGAGCTATTGTCCAAAGACCCTTAACTTTAATTCATGCCTTAAAGACACTTTTTTAAGACTATCAGGAGCTCCAGACACCAATGAAAAGAAGAGGGACAAATTTGAAACATTTTGTTTTAGACTCAAACAAACAGCTATTTTCTGAAAACTCTTCATACCTTAAAACACTTTAAGATTACCAAGCCTTCCTGACACCAATGAAAATAAAGACATTTTTAAAGCAAAAGAAAAGCAGTTGATAAATGTATATGGTTTCTGTTGAGTTACTTGAAGTGTTACAATGTTGGCAAATGGTGCTATCAAAACTAATTTGTGATTCTTTCTGATAATATCTCTGTAAAGAGACATGATCTTCACAACACTGAATAGAGAGTTTCTATTGATGTTTTGTAACTGACATTCATAAGGAAAGTACAGTTAAGAAAAAAGCTGGCAAAAATAGATGTTAAAGATATGCTCATTCTAGCACATAGATATATAATTTTTTTAACGCTTATCAACCTTTGTGAATAATTCAGCAAACATGGAAAAATGTGCCTGCAATAAGACAAAGTGTCAAAAGGATGTTTTTTCCTCATGAAACTGCCTTTTCTTTTCTTTTTTTTTAAAACTACCTTTACTTTTTTGGCAATGTTTGTTTTAAAAAGCGATGATTAGAATTGGAATGAAACCTAAACATATGAAAACGAATTTATATATTCTTTTTGTTCTTGAAAATTGAGAACAAAAATAATAAACACTATTTATTTATTAGATTGTTTATTTACAAGAATAATTTTATATTTATGCCATTCTAAAAACTAATACTACAAGTAGAACTAATGCAATATTAATCATTTACCAATTTATAAAGAAATAAATGTGAAAATTTTTATTCATGAATTTATAAACATTTACTAAATTATGAAAATATGTCAACCAACTATAAGGAAATTCTTATTTACCATTTTATAAAGTTTGAATCAATTGGCACTTATTCAACCATTCCAATAAATAATACATTAAATAAATAGTGTAAATAGAGGATATAATAGTGTTTATTATTTTTGTTGTTAATTCTCAAGAACGAAGAAAATGTATGAATCCAATTTTATGTATTTAGGTTTTATTACAATTCACTTCATTTTACAAGTGAATATTGCATTAACATTTTTTTGAGAATAACAATGATTTTTTTTCAGATACAATTCCTACTACTTAATCATTAATCAATAGTTGGGGGAGGAGATGGATTCATACCTTTCCCAAGGTTATTTATGCATAAGTGAATGTAATGTACCTGACTGGAATTCAAACACTGATCCATATTTCGAGCCAAACTGCTATTCATTATACCATCTGCACATCAACACACTCATTCTGGACTAATAAATTCTGACCATATGCTCTCTTCTGCCTAACTTGGCTTTTGAGTGTTTTTTAGAACCTGAGGTACAAGTATTTTTAGGCTGTGACAAATGATATCAACAACTAAAAAAAAAAAAAAAAAAAATTAACAGAAAAGATTTACCTTTGTTGATGATATTTTTCTGCTTACTCTAATGTTATGGGTAAATAATGATAGGGAGATTGAATTTTTTTTTTTTTTAAGCATTTCACCCCAAGCAAGGCGGGAAGCCACTAGGACGCAAGGGGTTACAGAAGATTTGGAGCAAGATCAGATAGGAGTGATAGAGGAAAGGATGAGGAGAAGGATAGTGGATAGATCAAGGCAACTGGAGATGTCGATTGACATTACATTTGAATAGTTGGAGATTATAGCTCACAGGAAAACTGGAATAGGGAAGGGAGTTCCACAGGCAAGACATGAAGCTATTGGAGTAGAAGAGATGGCTACATTTAGGTGTTTCGACAGTGAAAGGGTGAGAGCGGGATGCCAGCCTCGCAGGGGACTTGAACTCATGAAGTCTGGGAACCAGCGAATGCAGCTCCTCAGAGCAATTGCCATGAAAGTATTTGTAAAAAAGACAGTGAGAGGCAACGGCGCGTATGTGAGAGAGTGACTGTAGACGAGATGTCAGAACAGGGCCAATTATATTAAATATCCGCCTCTGGAGCCTATCAAGAACCCTGAGGCAAACAGAAGGGGCTCCAGACCATATATAGCAGCAATACTCCATGCAAGGGCGAATTGTTGATTTGTTGATCTGGAGGATCGATTCCGGGGAGAAAAATTTCCTGGCGTGGCACAGGGAGCCAACTTTCTTTGCGGTGGACGAAGCAATTGACTCAATGTATTTGTTCCATCTCAGGTCAGCCGTCAATGTGAGACCGAGCAGCGGTAGAGAGTTGCTCTCGAGAAGTTGAGCATCAGACATTCTAATGGAGGGCAGGGAAGGATCTTTGTGGTGATTAATAGAGAGCAGTTTTGTTTTTGAAGCATTAAAGTTGACCAGCCAATTCCTGCCCCAGTTCACAACTGATTGGAGGTCCTTTTCGAGACACACGGCCAGGTTAGTTTTGTCAGCGACACTAGATTTGTTTTTGAGGCAAGAGTAAATTGTGGTGTCATCTGTGTAGATGCCATCTTGGGAATTACACACATTTTTTAATTAGGAAAGTCTTGTTAAAAAAAAACAACATTTAAAATACTAGTGAGACAACCAACTATTTCACTCAGGAGGTAGGCCCCTTTATACTTACTTAGCTTAATCTATGAAAGAGCAAAGTGGGTGGAAATGTGAATAAAAAGATTGTGTTGTCCTAAACTCCCTTATGAGAAAAGGCTACCTACCTGGAAAATCAGCATTTAAAATTCTGGTTTTGACCTTAGCTTGAACATCTGGCACCAATGAGAAAATGCAACTATTTTGACCATGAGGCAGAGCACTTTCTACATACTCAAATTAACTTAATATATCATATACCCAAGAAGAATGTGTTGCACCAAGCTGTTGCCTTTACTTAAAAAGGTTTTCATTTATAGAACACCCAAGCAGAAATAATGGATTTTCTGATATGAACTGCACTACAAACGATGCATTGAAATAAATTAAGAAAAAAGGTTTTATTACATATTGGCCACAATATACTTTGAGTGCATAAAAGATTTCTTTGTTGTCACTCTCTAAAAGACATCTCTTAAATTTTATATGCCAAGTTGACATATCTGGCAGGCTAATATTTACCCAGATTTTACAGACTTATTTATCTTAATTCCATAATATTGTAATATTAAATGCAAATAGTCTTATATGGAGAGTTGAGATATCTGGTAGACTAATGTTTACCTAGATACCATAGACTACTATTACTTAAGATGAAAATTAAAAAAAAATATTACAGTGTATTCAGTAGTATACATCTATGTAAAAAGAAAAGAAAAATATTGCGAAGATAAATTGCACACTTGTTTGTTTAAAACAGAATAAATATCAGAGAGAAAACAAAACAAAGGAGACAGAATTCTTTTGCACCAAACGGTATCTTCAATAGTCATGCTAGTGGGGATTATTCAATTTAAAAAATAAGTGTGTTGAAAGTGAGAGCCCATATTTTTTGATACAGTATGGTTCCTGGAACAAAATAATTGTGCTAGAGAGGAAATTGTTTTAAAAATATTAAGCATATTGTACCAAATAAGTACTATGCTAAGAGAAGGGAACTTGAAGAAAATAATCCCATCAGATTTCTGGGGTACATTGTGAGGAAAGAGGGCTTGGTAAATTTGATACACACAGGACATGTATTTGTAAATATTATATATGGATTAAATTTAAATTTGTTATCCTTATTTTTTTATCACAATGATTTTGTTATATGATCTTTGAGTGTCTATTGTGTAAAATCTTGCTTTTAGTGGGGAATGTGTTTTCCTTCTCATTTAGTGCACGTGCCAAGAAATTTATTACGAAATTTAATAATTTAGTTACTAAAATAGTTGTTGATTTCTAAGAGGGGATGTAATTTGGTACATATGAGAAAAGGATGTTTAGAAAATTTAACTTAGGACTTATCAAAGGAAACAGGCAAGCAGCAGACATCCTAACAAGTACTGAAATGAGAAAGGCAGGAAACAGTGGAGAGCCATGATCATACATCCTGAATGGATGTGGACATGGGTAGCAGTTTTTCATTGATAAAAATTTCATAAAAGACTAAGTTCTTATAGTATTTACTAGCAGAAGAGCCCGGCGTTGCCCAGGGATGTAACAGTAAGAGATAGATCAACTATCGACCATCATAAAGACTGAAAAATAAAATTGACAAAGATTATTGTTTAAGGTTGATGGACATAAACGTCTTAATTAGTTTTTTTTTTGTTTTTTTGTTTTTTTTTATGAATTGGTCAAACCCAAACTCAAACAAAAACATTGTTTTCAATCGTTATGAGTCTATCGATTAAATAGAATTTTATTATAAACAATTGTCTTGTAAATAGAATTTTTAAAGCACTCTGAATGTAAAAATAAAGAAAAAAGTGTGCAAGACAATAAGAAACACTACCTGCCAAAAAAAGGTGAAGTTTTGTTGAAATCGGTTGAAAAATATAGGAAATCCGATCCCATATATAAATGAACACACACACACACACACACACACACAAACAACCTGGGTTTTATAATAAGTATAACTCGATATGAGTTGTCCCTCTTTCATTCTGGTGACATAATCGTGTTTTATCATGTTTTCAAATTGATTTCATGCAAAAACAATTGTGTTTTTCCAATTTTTGGCACTGTTAGAACCACAACAAGGTAATTTTAATCAGTCCTGTGAAGTTTTGTTGAAATCGGTTGAAAAATGTAGGAAATCCGATCCAATATATAAACATACAGACACACACACACAATCTGCGTTTTATAATAAGTAAGATTTTATTTACTCTTTCTCTTTTCTGATGAGTTGTTTGACATCAGGATTGAGATTCTATGAATCAGATCCAAATTTTAAGTAATGGCAAATGATTTCTTAAGACATTACCAATGAATGTTAAAAATGCATTTAGAGTGTGAAATTTACTTTATGCATTAGTGTGTGTTTTTTGAATATAAACTTTTGTTGATCTGTCTCTCATGTATAACATTTTTTGATTATTTAACCATTAACAGTTTGT